CCCCGATCCAAGCAGCGCGGATCATAAAGGCCGAACGGAAATCGGCGGCTTGGGGACGTGAAACCGCTGCCGACCGCCTGGTTGCTGTAGCCGTCAGACCCGCCTGCAGTTTGTAAAGACCCCTTCTCCCTCCCCGCCCCATAAGGCCTGTGGCGTCGCCCCGCGCAGTCCCGCTTTCCCTAGTGCGGGTTGCGGTCCGCCGAGGCGCGGGGCGGTCGGTCCGCCCCGTAGGCAGGGACGGGAAGGCCGCCGGGGAGCCGAGCCGAGCCCAGCGCGGCGCGCCATTCCCTGGGGAGGCGGGGAGGGAAGCCGCCCGCGCAAGGACGGGCCCGCCCCCGCCCCAGCAGAGGCCGAGGAGCGCCCCGGGGGCTGCGGGCTGGGCAGAGGAGGGGCGCAGCCACAGGTGTGTCCACGAGCCGGCCGCGCTCCGGGCAGGGCGCCGCGTTCCCTGCTCGGTGCTTGCCGCCGGGGGACGGGGCGCTGGGCGGGCGCGGGCGCTCCGGGCGTCGTCGCGGGGGACCGGGCTTCGGGTGCGCCAGTGCCGCGGCGAGCGGGCGCTCTCGCCGGGACAAACTCTTGATCCCGCACCCCGGCAAGGAGGGAGGGCGAGTGGATGCGGCCGCTGGAGCCTCCTGTGCCCGGGAGGCCGCAGGGGCCCGGCCGCCCTCCCCGCACCGCTGGCCCCGGAGAAGGTGAGCGAGAGCGCGGGAGCCCGGCCTCTCTGGCCCGCGCGCTCCCGGCCCTGCCGCGAAGCGGAGCTGCTGGGGCAGGAGCTGCAGCTCTTCGGCAGGGAGGGGGCTCTTCCTCGGCCGGCGCTTCCCTCTTGCAGCAGAGATGGAGACAACCGGCGCTAGAGCTCCTCTGGCCGCCAGCAGCTGCTGCAGAGCCCACGACTGCCCCTGCTGCAGCATAGAAGTGCCGCTTGAAGCAAGGGGGCATTTTGGAGGCCCCAGGGGTGTGCTGGCTGCAGTGAGGGTTGAGGGTCTGCCCCAGTCCACCCCTCAGGCACAGGGCCTCTCCGGAGAAGCCGAGGGTCCTGCCCCATGGCCGTCCTGGGTGCCCCCACACCCCGCTGCCACAGAGAGAGATTTGTGAGACCTTTCACGTTTCTGTCTCTTGCTGGTGTTGTTCCTACACAGAGTAGATAGAAAAGGCTGCCAGAAATACAATTATTTTCAAACACAACCTAGTAGCGGAAACCTGCAGAGGATTAGAAGATCTGAAAGAACAATGCGGCCTCTTCCCAAGGCACCTCTTGTGAAGGTGTGCCATAATGGGGGGGGGGGAGCACTGCTGAAAAACCCCTCCTTGGCTGGAAGCCCACCATGCCTCGGCCTGCAAGACCGGGATGCCCCAACCAATCCCCGCCCGGCCTGGAGGTTTCGTGGCTCCGTCTCCCTTTCAGCATGATTTCTGAGGCACTTTCTCCAGCGGGAGCAACACCCCGTCTGTGGAAGAGTTTCGGCCACCGTAGTGATTGGCCTCGGCTGCTTCGTTGAGTGAATGCTGTGGACTGACCGAAAGACAATCAATCAAGCGGTTCCCAGATCCACCCAAGCCAGAGCTCTCCCTGCGAGCAAACGTGACAGAACTGAGGCTGCCGCACTTTGGGCGCATCACAAGAAGGGAAGACTCTCTGGAGAAGACATTCCTGCTCGGGAAGGTCGAAGGCGAAGGAAGAGGATGAAGAGCAACCGTGAGAAGGGGGGACAAAGCCCGTGGATGCGGGCTGGTTCCCTGCAAGGCAGAGCAAGACCAGAAGTGAAGAGGAGGTCAGGAACAGGCGGGGCAGGTCCTGGCCCATCTCTGGCAGGATCGGGGGGCCGTGGCATCAGGAAGAGGCAGGAGTCAAGGCACGGAGGGAGGCCTTGCAGAGTCAGCAGCGGAAGCCCAGTCGGGCACAGAGCAGCCCGGGACATGGCACCCCCTCGCTGCATTGGAGCCAGGCAGGGCTGAGCAGCCCTTTAGAGCCTTCCTGGGCTTTCAGCTGCTTCCCATGATCCTGCAAGCACATGCAGGCCTGACTCCTGCCCTGCAAGCACTCGCAAGGGGAACCGGGAGCCTGCTTCGGAGAGCCCGTGAACCTGCCGCGACCTGGGAGCCAGGCCAGCCCCTGACCCGCAGGGAGCGCTCGTCCTCCTCTGCCTCCAGCATGACTCCCGAGACCAGCACCTGACTTGAGCTGCGGAGGAGCACTTCTGCTGGTTCTTTGGCACCAGGAGGGACCTTCCATCCCTGAACATCCAGCCCTCCATCTCAGACCTTGACCAACTGAAGGACACCAGAGCTGTTGGCTGTATCTCCTCACCCATTCAGCTGCTGCTGCTTATTCTTCAGCAACCCCATCCATGTCTTGGACAGAAATTGAGACCGCTTCTCCACATCAGAGGCTACGGGGCGTGTCTCTGACCAGATTCTTCCCGTGATGCAGTCCTTGAGTCTTGAGACCCCAGAACCTCGCAGCCGGGAAGCAGCTGAAGAGCCAGGTGCTTGACACGGTCTTGACGGACTCGTCGCAGCAAGGAGGATGCTCTTCCCCCTCCATTAGGCCCGGCAGTAAAACAGTCTTGCAAAGCCCCATCTCCTGTTGCGCTGGCATCGAAATGCCGGGCGCTGGTATAAACTGCAGAGGAGGACGATTTACTCGCCTCGTGCTCTTCCCTGTTGTGGAATCCTGTGAGCAACGGCCAGAGGAGGAGGCAGATGGCTCAGCCCGTGCGAGTGAGGACTCCGTCCTTCTGCCGAGCTCTGCCTCGCAGACTTACTCGCTGCACTGCCATCTCGCCGCATCAGCTGTTCCTACGGGGGAAGCCCGCTCTCCAGACGACTGCCTGCCCAAAGACCGGAGGGAGCTCTTCCAGTCTGTAGCCCTTCGCCCTCTGGGGCGGCAGGTGACGGCTCACGTGGCCAGGCACGCGTTCGGCAGGCGTGTCTCGGGAGGCCTGCTCCAGGATCGGAGGCTTCCCCTGCCACGGAGAGGACCCCTTCGCCTGCAGAGCAGGGGGCGGGCCATGGCCTCTGCCCGGAAGGCACTGGGCTTCTGTGCCAGGGCCAGTGGAAGCCTCGGCAGCCTGCTCTCGCTCAGCCATGGCAGCAGGACCATCGCAATCCTCCCCCATGCCTGGCTGCCGGTGTCCTGCACCCAGGCACCAGAGGGCCCGGCCTGCCCAGAAGCCCCCTCCTCGGCCACGCTCCTGCCACTCTCTCTTGGGAACGTGCCTGCCTTGTTTTCTGCGTGCCCCAGTCACGCCTGACTCGTGGCCTGGGACTCCCGGACTGGCTGGGCCGCTTCCCCTCCGTCCTCCGCCTGCCTGCCTGCCTCAGGAAGGTGTTGCAGCCAAGGCGGCCTGGCCTGGAAGGGAGAGATGGTTCCGCGTGTCCTGCTCATCATCCAGATGTCTGGCTGTGCCTTCTGAAGCTGTGGGGGGACACGCCTGCTTCGGGGGAGGCAAGAAGGCGGGGAAAGGGGGAGCGGTGCTGCGGCCCTGGCTTAAGGATCTTTTCAGCGCTATGGCCATTTAGGCTCAATTGCAGGGCCTCCCATCCCTGCCGCAGGGGCCATGCGGGGGGGGGGGGGGGAACGGCTGCACGGCCGGGGCGGGAGCAGGGAGGCGAGGCACAGCCATTCCCCAGAGAGCCCCGGCTGCCCCGGACCTGCCTCCTTTCGCAGCCGAGACAGAATCCATCGCGCCAGTGCCTCACAGGGAGTCTTGTCAGCGATCGTGGCTGCCCGTTCTGCAGGGCCCAGCCTTGAAGCTGCCATTCAGTTTGGGTCGGGCTCCCTTTCCACCGGGCCATTGCAGCTTTGCGGGTTTTCCCACGATGCCAGGCTGCCGCGTCCTGGAACCCCATCTCAGCCTCGTGTCACGAGCCTCCTTGGTCGCCCGGCTTGTTCCTTCCCTCCCTCTTCACTGCTTTTCCCCACACTCCTTTTTGAGATGGCACAGCAGAAGGGTGTGATCATAACAATAATATATCGGTTGACGATGATGATAATAGTATACATTTCTATTATATCGTATTAGTAATGTGCCTCATTATACCCTATTATCATCATCATCATCATCATCACCGACTCCACCCATTCACCATACCGCTCTCTGGGTGCCTTGCAGCTTTCCAGGAGTGGCCGCACCGCAGGGTCCCCAGTGGAAGCCTGGTGCTGCACATGGATCCAGGCTCTGGAGCATGAAGCTGCCCTGGCAGAGGTGGGCTTCCCCGGCCACCCTCCGCACAGCCGCCTGTCCTGCCCCCTGCAAACACCACAGGAAAAGTCTGGGGTCCCAGCTGCATGTTGCAAGCCTGTGCAGATTTTCTGCAGACCCTGAGACCGGACTGAGTCACCTTCCGTCACTGGAGGCAGCCCCTTGCATTTTATTTCGGTTGCAAACCCTTGGGTTCACTCCTTCCCAGCCTCAACATAAAATGGATTTCCGCACGTTCCTTATTCTGGGCAACAGACCGAGGGCTGCCGTCACGCACTCTGGAGGGCTGTGAAGCCGCCACGGTTAAGCGTGGCATGGAACCAGGGGGCCACTCTGCCGCCGGAGTTCGGGAAGCCGTGTTTCCGGCAGAGCTGGGCAGGCCTGCGGGCAGAGCGGCCGCCCGCTTTCTGCAGCTTCCCGGCCGCCTCTGCCTAGCTCTGCCTTCGCTCTGGATGGCTTGTGCCCCTCCTCATCATGCCTCGTGCTGAGATGAACAGTGAGGATACCTTCAGACAACTCCCGACCTTTCCGAGGGAACCGGTCTTCCTGGTTCCTCCCGTCTGACCCTTTCTCTGCGCCGCACGTCCTGAGCAGGCGCCCCCACAAGCATGCGGGCCGGTGTGGCTCTGGCCGCCAGCCCCAGGCAAAGAGCCGCCACCGGCCGGCCTCGTGCTCGAGGGAAGGCGGACTCGCCCCTCGCCCGCTCCGTGGCTCGGAAGTGCAGAACTCACCCGGAAGCAGGCGGCCTGTGCTGCACCAGCGGCAGTAATGTAGCCCCTTCTCTTCTCTCCGCAGGCTTTCTATAGCTCCATCAAGAACGAGAAGCTGCAGTGGGCCATGTGAGTACCCAGCGTGCCCGCCCTCCCCGGCAGCCCCTGCCCTCCCGCCTCCTCTGAGCATTGCTGGCCGGCCCTGCTCTGCCTTTCAGGGCCTCCCCGGCAACTCGCCGAGCGGCCGCGAGGCAGAGCCGCCTGCCGCACCGCTGCCGCGCTGCCAGGCCCTCTTCCCCCCCTTGCCATGAGCTCCGCTGGGCCACCGTCACACCAGGGCAGCGTGACTGTATGACTGGATCTCATCGCAGGAAGTAAGCCCTGCTTTGCGTCTCTGTATCAAGCACCTTCGCAGGGAGAAAATTGGGCAGGCAGAGGAGGGGGAGTTTGCGACAGGCTGGATCCTTGGCATGTTGATTCTGACACAAGCACTACTGATCAACAAGGACCTGGGAGGTGCAAGTGGAAGTCACTGATTCCTGCCTTTTATAAAAATGAAATACATGCAGAGGAGTTGTCGTCAGATCTGCATCTAGCTGAAATCTGGGTTGGGAGGGAAATTTTTGCACAGACAGCCCCCACTTCTTGGAGGCCTGGGTTAGACCTTACAGCCTCTAGGAATTCCAGAAGAGGTGCCTACACATCCCACCCCCTCCACGCACACACTTTTCATGGGGCTTCCTTTCAGCACCTTTGCAAAGTAAGGGCTCCTTCACCCTGTCCATCAAACGCAGGCAAGTTTTTTGGACCGGAAAATACCCAGTCATGGCATTTGCTCCTCTTTTCTTGTCCAGAAAAGGCCTGAATTTGTTTACCGGGCAGTGGCAGGAAGCTCCAGGAGCCCCCACGCACACGCACAGAGCGGGCAGTGCGGCCCGCTGCAAACCGGGTGCGCTGGCGGAGGCGGGGTGGGCCGCTCTGGAGGCGCACGCGTGGCTGCGCTGGCCCGGGGGCGCGCCGGCCCCTCCTCCGCACCGGCTCCCGGGCTTGCTGGGATCCATGGCCCCGCTTTGCAGCCCCGGGGGGGGCGGGGGGGGCGGAGCAGCCGAGGCCGTCGCCATGGAGACCGCGCGGCTCGGGCGATGCGTCGGCGCGCGGGCGAGGGGGAGGCGGGCGCGCCGCGGGTCCCGGGGGCGCCCGGCCCTCCCGCGCCCCACCTCGCTCTGCGGAGCCCATCCTGCGGAGCAGCGCGCCCTGCGAGAGCAGCGAGGGCGGCAGCCGCCCGGGCAGCCTGCGAGGCCCACGGGGCGCCGGCACTCGGGCGACCCAGCCCCGCCGCCGGGCGCGCACGCCCTCCTTGCTCTCCCGGCCATCCTCTTCGGGCACCGCCTCAGCGAAGAGCGGTGCCAGTCCCGCTAGGTTTATTTCCAGTTTTCTCCCTGCCTGCGACAGGTTGCCTTTGCAGTAATGTACAGGGTAATTACACTACTCCCTATTCAGCCTTTTAAAAATAAGACAAATCCGCCCCACACGACTCATAATGAGTAATGCACCAACAGCCCAATGCTGGGCTCACTTTATCCCTGGATTTCTGCTGGTGATGACAGGTGTGCAGGCTTTTCTGCGGGGCCACATCCACCATTTCCTAATGCTCTGGATTTTCCTTGCAAATGTTTCCATAAGGTCTCCTTTCAGAAAAGTGCCTTGGGAATGAAGTTGGGCAGGCCGGAAGCTGCTGGCCCTGGGCTGGCTCCAGCCTATTCATGCCTAAGCATTCGGTGGATTGAACTCAATGGGATCTGTTAGAACAGGCAATTAAAGTCACTAGGAGCATAGCCAGGGCAAAGCCTGGGTCCAGCCTGTGGGTTGTCCATGCCCGCATCTCCAAAATCCCTCACCTTCTGGAGAGAATCCCAGCATTCGTTCCGTGATGCTGAGTCGAGGCCCTGCCATGGTCTAGGTCTAGGTCTCAAGGAGGGCAGCGCTGAGCACCCTCCCGCAGGGCTCCTGAGGTGCCCCCCACACACACACACGCTCACCCCTCGCGTGTCTTTGCTCCCCAGAGACGAAGAAGAGCTGCGCAAGTCGCTGTCGGAACTGGCCGACCCCAACCCCAAGACCGTCAAGCGCATCAGCAGCTGCAGCAACCCCTTCCTCGACTTCTCACAGGACCCCAGTGGCGTGACCTACAAGCACGGCCTCCTGGTGCGCAAGAGCCACGCCGAGCCCGACTGCAAGAAGAGTAGGTGGGGCCGGGGTGGCCGGGGGCTCCCGGGGCGCCCCTCTTCCCTGGGGGCCCTGGGGCACGAGCAGCCGCCCCTTCAGGAGGGCCGGCAGGGCAGGGCGTTGGTGCAGGGGGGCTCCACACACCTCCCTGTGTTCTCTGCCTGGACTGTGAAGCTCCCGTGCGAACCAGGAGGGGGCCTTCCATGTCCGGCCATGCCCAGGACCGCAGCCTGTTCCTCCGCGAGCAGCGCAGGTGGTGCCCTCGCTGGATCCCTCCTTGCAGGGACTCTGGCGCCCCACTTTTTCTCCAGAGCAGCTCAAAGGGAGTTTGGTGTGCGGCAGTTTCCATCTACGGAAACAGCACGTTTAACTCGACTCTGCAGAGGCCTGTTGGCTGGCAGTCGCTGCCACGAAGGGCTCCTTTTCCCCAGCTTATGCCGGCCGGGCCACCCGCGTCCTGCCCTGCTTGCCGCCTCTGCACAGCAGTCAGGCTCGGAGGAGGCTCTGGCGGAGGACAGCGCCAGGGGGGCGCGCCACGCAGGGGGGGTCCGCTCTTTCTTGCCCACCCGCGCCCACCTGCTCCACCGTGAGGCTTGACCAAGGAGGTCCACTGGCCCGGCCGGGAGTCTTTCCCAGGCGTAATTGGCACGGGCGCGTTGAGCGGCGGTCACGGGCTGGTTCGGGAGGACCCCAGGCTGCGCTGCGCGGCATGGCTCCCCCTTGGGCTCGGGGTCTGCAGTGCCGACTCCCCTCATCAACTCCCTTGGCAGGAGCAGTGGGGACGTGCGGGGCGCCTCCCAGAGGGTTGGCCGCCTGCAGCTGGAGCGAGCGCTCGCTGTCAGGGACGTCACGGGGCGGGAAGGGCCCGGGCTTGGCACGCAGCGGCCCCAGGGCATGGCCAGGACAAGTGGGGGCCGATCGGCCCCAGGCCGGAGGGGAGGGCCCGCTTCCTCGCTCGGGGGCGCTGCGCCATGCGGAGGGGCCACACTGGGCTCACATGCGGGTGGTCGCGGGGGCCCAGAACGGTGACGCGGGGGCGCTGCGAGCAGGATGGCCGGGTGAGCCGAGCTCTTTGCCCAGGCGACCACCGCCCTCCTCCGCTCGCTCGCTCGCTCGGGCCACCATTTTGAACCCGGGGCACAGGTGGCCGGGGCAGACCTTCCCTCCAGTCAGCCAGCCACACATCTTGACGCCAGAGGCCGGGCTGGGGGGAACCAAGCCGCTCGCTGGCTCGCCGTCCCCGCTCCACCCCACCGAGCGACCGCCCTGCTCCGAGCGCTCCGTTTCCCAGCAAAATCCTCCCTAATCCCACCGGCTCATGCTGCCCTGATCCGATTAGAGGCTTCCCGCCTCCTTCGCAGTGGCCGCTGAGGAGAGATTCACCTGGCGGGAGCCACGCGTGGCATCTGCCTCCCAGCAGCACCCACAGAGCCTTCCACAGCTGCTGCTGCCCCAGGCACGGCTCCACCCCAGAAGGCCACAGGCTGGGGCCCCAGGCAGCTCCCTCAGCCCCGCTGCCCCCAAGCACCCCCACGCTCAGACCCAGCGCCTGGCAGCACCCGCCCCGCCCCGCCCCGCCGAGGCCTTGGTCCAGCAGCAGCTTCAGCACTGACTCTCTCTTTTGCTTGGCAGCCCCGAGAGGAAAACGGGGGTGGAAGACTTTCCATGGGATCCTGAAGGGAATGATCCTGTATCTACAGAAGGTACACGAGCCCCCTCCCCCACCACCTTTCTCTCACCACGTGAGGTGGGGATCAGCCCCCCCTTTCTTAGACTCACCGAATCAGAGGCTGGCAGGGCTGGAGGGGGCCCGGAAGGCCATGGGGTCGGCCCCCGTTGGCACAGGATGCCTGCTGACACCCTCCCACTCGGGGGGCTGCCAGATGCTTGCTGGATGTCTCCAGCGGGGGGAGCCCCCAGCTCTCCACGCAGCTGGCTCCACCATCGCGTTGCTCCGGCAGTGAGGAAGCTTTTCCCGATCACGTGCTTGGCAAAACATGGAGCCCTGGACCAAAGTTGTTCCAGCCGGTCACTTAGTTGGCCTGCCTGTTTTCTCTTCTGTTCAGTGTGGAATGGACCCAAACTGAGTCCTGCACAGAGCCAGCTAATCGGCATCAAGCATGACCAGCTTCCAGTTGATTTTAGCAAATTGGTCCATAACACTGAAATCTTGGTAAAGAAAGCCAGGAGAAACACCCCATTAATGAAGGTGCTCAGATTACTTGGGCAGGAAGCAATGAACAGAATAGCCACTCCCCCCCCCCCCCGGAAGCTGCACGTCCTGCCATGCCCCTTCCCGTCCCCGCAGTCGCCGTCAAGCGGCTTGCGATGGGCTCCCAGGGATGGGCCCGGGCGCGAGGCGTGTGGCACCAGGCCAGCAGCTCCCGGGGCTCGCAAGGGACGAACAGGGCTGTCGAGGAGGGCGTCCGAGGGAGTGTGCCTTCGCCTGTTTCCCATGGGGGAGAGACAGCTGGGCGGCACGTGGCAGCAGCCCTGGGACGCGTCTCGGGCGCTCCCCGCACTGCGAGCAAGGCTGCTTGGAAGGCCGGCCGGGCCACACACGCTCGTGCGGACCAGCCGGGGCCTGGCCTGCCTTCGTGCAGGGGGCAGTGCCTCTGGCGCTTCCTCCATCCCGCTGGCTGGCGGGGGCGAGGCAGCACCTGCTCGGCCAGACTCCGTGGCCCTGCCATGATGGGCTGCAGCATGGGGCAAGAGCCGGGCTGCAGAAACCCGGATGCTCCACCGGCCCAAAATCATGTTTCCACAGTGCAAAATGCCCACCAAGGTTTATCTTCTTCATCTAAATATGAAACAATCAAACTACAAGGAAACAGTAACACTGTGAAGGAAACAGTAACACTGAATTCTAGAACAAGCTTTTAAAAACAGATCAGCAAGCGATTTTAATGCAATATGCATTGGGATACAATGTGTTGCAACAGTATTTTGACTGCTTGCCAACCTCTGGATTTAGGGATTTTCCCATTCTAAGTGGGGGAAAAAGCAGAACAGTGCTTCACCTCGCTAAAGTCCCCATTTTAGAAGCTAGTCTGAGGTGTGACAGCTCCTGTCAAAACTGGGAACTTGAGCAAGTGGAGCGGCTCACACGTTTCGACGTGGAGGTTCAGGGAAGTGTGGGAAAGGTGTGTGTGGCTGAGAAGCATCAGCTCTGCACCTGAAAGCTGGAAGGTCTTGCAGGCAATCTGCTGGCAGTGGTAGTTGTGAGCACGGTGGCTGTCGGAAAGCAAAGCCAGCATTAACCGGCCTGCAGCCTTGTGTTCTCGGTGTTCAGCTTGGCACTGCCTGCACTCCTTAGGATGCCGATGAGGAAACGCTTTCATTGCACACCTCAGTAAATGTGAAGGCGCACAGTTGAGAAAGACCAGGAGATTTTTTAAAAAAATGCAAGCGCACAAATACAATTTGGGCAAATGTCAAGACCAAATTTAACCAACCCACAAATTGCCCCCATTTTTTTAAAAGGAGGCTGGCACACTGACTTGGTTCAGTCCAAACAGAGCTGGCACAAGCGAGAGGAAGCCAGAACGAAACGGGAGGAGAGCAAGAGGGAGAAGGCTGTTGCGGTGCCGCTCTCACCCCGCGCGCTTGCCCTGTTTCAGGAGGAGTACAAGCCTGGCAAGGCCCTGGTGGAGGACGAGCTGAAGAACGCCATCAGCATCCACCACTCGCTGGCCACCCAGGCGTCTGACTACAGCAAGCGGCCCAACGTCTTCTACCTCAGGACAGCGGACTGGAGAGTCTTCCTCTTCCAGGCCCAGTAGGTAGCAGGCCCAGGCCTGCCAGGAGCCCTGGGGACAGGGAGCAAGGCGGGCACTCGGCTGGCAGAGGGGGGGCTCTTCCGGCAGGGGGCCCAGGGCAGGGCCCCGCTGCATCTGCCTTTCCTGCCCCCAGCTCGCCTGACGCCCCGGCACCGGTTTCTTGCCACTTCCGCTCAGACCACTTTGGCGAGGCCAGTGAAAAGCTGCCGCCAGCAGCTGTTTCCACTGGAGCCGCTCCGCCACCTGCAGCCCCCCACCCTCGAATTTGCTGTGCCTCCCCAGCAGGCAGAGCACACTTGGGTGGATTGTGTCCACCGCCTCCGGGCAGGACTTGGGCATGCTGGCACTGCATCCTGCGGATGCGGACGGCCTGAGGAGCGCTCCCGCCTGCGGCCGGGGGTCCCCCTGCCCCCTCGTGCGTGTGCCGCACCCCTGGCGAGCTGCCTCGGGTGCCCGCTGCCCTTGCCAGGAATAGACCAGCGAGCCGGAGGCCCGCCCCTTCCCCAGCATTGCCTGCCGTGGACTAGCATGCCTCCTCACGCCTCTTTTGCGCCGCACCTGCTGCCAGGAACACGGAGCAGATGCATTCCTGGATCACGCGCATCAATGTGGTGGCGGCCATGTTCTCCGCACCCCCGTTCCCGGCAGCCATCGGGTCCCAGAAGAAGTTCAGCCGCCCACTGCTGCCCAGCTCCGCCACACGACTGTCCCAGGTGAGCGAGGGCCTGTTCCACCCGATTCCGGAGCCGGGTTCACAGCCGAAAAGGGATGGGGGCAGAGACAAACTTCCACGATGGGGGGAGGCAGGGAAAGCGGGGCCCATGTGCCTGTGCAGAATTGCACATGAGGTGACCACGGACCACAAACACGGCCCTCACCCTGCATAGGCAAAGCAGCCCTCAAAAAGGGAAGAGGCGGCTCCAGGGGAGATGGTCTGTGGGGCGAAGTGGCCTGGGGCAGGCTCCCCACCGGGGAAGCAGGGAGGCAGCAGAGGCCGCGAGCAGAATGGCTCTCCTTCCCCTTCTGCAGGAGGAGCAAGTGAAGAGCCACGAGGCCAAGTTCAAAGCCATGGCGGCAGAGCTGCTGGAGCATCGCTCGTCCCTGCCCGAGAAGAGAGTGAAGGGCAAAGAATACGAGGAGCTGAAGCAGAAGGAGGAGTACCTGGTATTTGAGGTCAGTGGGGGGCCTAGCGAGGGAGGAGATTCTTCTGCCAGGGCAGCTGTCCGTCCCCAGGCTGGCAACCCGCCTCTTCAGGCCGTGGCTGTGGCTTTTTCAGACCATGGCCCACAGAGCAGAGGCCCACAGGCAAGCCGGGCCAGGGCAGGCCCAACGGCGGGAGGTGCCACGGGGCTGTCACGATGCTTCCTGGTTGCCCTTCCAGGTGGCTGATTTTCTGGGACCTCCTGGAGCAGTGCATTTCTCCACTAAATATGCACGGAGCAAAAGCACTGCACACTCACCTCATCCAAGTCTTAGAAAGACGACAGATTTCCCTCTATGCCCACCTTCGCCTTGTGAGGACCCCAGTCACGCCCTCCCTAAACTTCACGCGCCTTCTCCCTGAAAACTGCCTGCAAATGTTTTAGCCTCTTCCCATCAGGAAGGCGAGGGGACACCTGGACCTGGGCCTTTTTCATCACCACAGCAGCATTGCTCAGCTGGAACATCTGGCATTCCAGATGCAGCCCCTGCACAGCTGGCACCCGCCGATCAGCTCTGCTCTGCTCCCACTGACCATCCCAGCAACTTAGGCTGTTCCCACAAAGTGTGAGCGAAGAACCAGCCCAGCCCCGCACCCTGAAGATTCTCCGCCACCCCGCAGCTTCTCTAAGGGCTCAGCAGCACGGGAAGGCCTGGGTGCCTGGGACGTGGGACAAAAAGTGGGGGTGGCAGGGGAGAAGCGCCCCACAACCATTTCCCATCTTTCCGCTTCCCTTGCAGAAGTCTCGCTACGGCACCTACGCAACGCTGATGCGCACCAAGCTGAAGACGGACTGCGAGGACCTGGCCGTGCTGGAGGCCACCCTGTTCGAGGCAGCAGGCCGCACAGACGACGGCCTCAGGAAGGCCCCGTCCAGCTCTCCGCTGAGCCAGGAGCCGGCTGGCACCGGGTCCAAAGGCAAACATGGTGGCCGGCCAGCCTCCGGCAGCCTGCAAAAATCCTGAGGGGGGGGGGGCCTGCCCTGAGGGCGGCTGCCTGTCCCAAGATCTGCATGATTCTGTTCTCCGTGGCCAGGAAGTGCGCCGCGGGAGGCAAGGAGCCACCTGACTGTGGACCAGATCCTGTGTCAACTGCGCCAGCTGGGGGAAGAGGCTCGGCCCTGCCATGCCCCCAGCCCCAGCCCATGCAGCCCTCCCGGGCCCCCGAGAGGGGATGTGGCATCGGCTGCGCGGGGAGTCCTGCTTCCTCTCCGCTCGGGCAAACACAGCCAGATCCCGGCAGCCTCCATACTGTGCACCCCGCCAGTTTCTTACTGTTTTGTGATACGCTGTTTTACAATCTTTTTAGTACCCGACAAAGCCGGCTCACGCGCGGCCTGGGGAAGGGGAGTCCGCCACGACAGAAGGTAGGCACACGCCACACTCCGTGGGCCACTTCGCCTCGAGGTGGGCAGCGATGCCCACCCCTCCTGCAGCAGTTCTGGGCCCACGCCGGCCGCTCCCGGAGCACTTCCCCTCCAGCCCGGGGCCGGTCCTTCAGCACCAGCAGCGGCCCTGGACTGGCTCAGCTCCTCCCCACCAGCATGAGCAGGGCTGGACTCCACGGAGGCCCCTCCAGCCCTCCCGCGTGGCCAGGGATGCCGTCCGTCCGTTGACGGTAGGCGGGGACAGCCCGCTGACGGAAGACGAAGCCATAGGAGGGTGCCCCCAGCAGCCCCCTGCCCCGGCCACCGGGTGGCTTGCACGGGCCGGCCCTGGCCTGAGCTGCACATCCAAGCCCTTGCCTGCTGGGCCTGGCCAGGGAGGGGCCCGAGGGCACCGCCCCCTTCTGCTCACGCCACGCGCCTTCCACTGGTTCTCTCCAAGGGCTTCAGGCCGTGGCTCGCCACGGCGCATGCGGTGGAGGGGGCGGGCGCAGGAGCACGCGCGGCCAGGGCAAGCTGTGTTCGCGGCCGCAAGGCAGCCCAGGCTGGGCAGCAGGCGGAAGGGGTGCCCCCCACCTGCCAGGGCGGCTGCATCCAGCACCGACTCTCCGAATGTGTTGTTTTTTATTCTACTCTGGAAGTGACTGTAAACAAAGCAACAACTCAAGAGCTCTGTACAGTTTCGTCCTTCTGGTACCGAAGTAAAACCGACTCCAGTCCCCAGAGTGAGCCTGGTTCTCTCGCCAGCCCTCCCACTGCAGACGGCGGCCCCCAGGCCCCCGACCCCCATCCCAGGCACACGCAAGTGGCCCAAAGGGCCTGAGCCCCCCCCCCCCCCAAGCTGGGGACCTGAGTCCACAAGTCTGCGCGTGGCTTGCTGCACACTGGCTCCAGGTGGCCTCCGGGGAGGCCCAGGGGGCCGCAAGGGGAGGAGAGGGCAAGCGGCTGGGGGCAGGTGCCCCACGCTGCCCCCCTTGGAGGCACTGGGCTTGGGGCGCTGCACGGAACAAGGAGCACAATCTAGACATGCATTGTGGTGGGAGAGATGGAGGAAGATTGAGAAGGCGGCCAAGTGCTGGCTTGGAAAAAGGGTGGGCCAGAAAAAGCATGAGACAAGAAACTAATTTCTGAAGTTAAAAAATAAATGCAAACAGACCCATGTCGATAGCGGGGACAGTGACAGCCTAAGGAAGGCACGATAGGAAAGGCAGTCATAAGGCGGCCATCAAGCAGATTCGAGATGTATATTGCAAGTTTTGAAAGATACATCTGGATAAGCTGAAAGCGTAAGAAATGGTTTAATTCAGATCTTCCAGGGAAGTTGTCATCTTTGACTAGCAAAATTTAAAAACCTAAGTGTATCTAACACCGTTTTCTATTAGTGAAGTTTGACTTTTCCTCAGACTGATGCATCTCTGTGCAGTGGCAGGCAGGCAGGCAGGCCTCCGAGCCAGGGCCTCCGGAAATCTTCCCCAGGAGACCACCTGCCATTTCACTCCTTTGGCCTCTCTGTGCCTATTTTCTTTCCTGGTCACAAAATGCCTGAAACCTGAGGAGCTCGGGCAAGAGAGGAACAGGAAAAGTCGCATCGTGTATTCCAGTAACAAAATTGGAAGTCGAATGAGCAAAGGCATTTGAGCTCCAGCAGCCTGGCAACCAGCCCACGCAGGCGCCTCCGAGCCTGGGCCCGTAAGGCCAGGGGCTGCCGCTTGCTCGCTTGCTCGCTCGCTCGCTCCTTCACCGGGGCGTTTGCTGTGCACACCCCCCCTTAGCAGCTCTAGCCTGTCCTACACGACACACTCCACAAAAGAGGACCCCTCCTTTAAATAGGGCATGCAAGCGTAAGCAGCTACTTGGGCTGGAACAGGGCGTTTCTCACGAAAGCGGGATGATGCAGGCACCAGTGGCATCTTCAGGAACTGCCCTTTTTCTCTTTGGAGTAATGCAGAGATGAACCACCTGCTGGTGGGTAGCCGTCAAAACCGCACCTCGGAACGGACGGCGGAGGACAGCGCCCGAGGCAGCTGCGGCACAGGCGGTGGTGGGCTTGCGGGAAGGGTCCGAGCGGCAGGGAGCGGGTCCCTCTGAGCAGGCGGGGCGGCGGGAGGACCCTGGACGCCGCGCTCACCCGCTTCAGCAGTCCTCCAAAACGGGGGGGGGGGGGGGCGAGGCCCCGGGCCCAGGAGGCGGCCACTGGAAGGGGCTTGCAAGGCACTGAGGGGCCCGGAACGGCGCTCCTCCGGCGGCTCGCGAGGCAGCCGCACCGCCAGAAATCCCGGGAGCTTGCGAGGGCCATTCCGGGGCCGGCCGGCCGACGTGGCCCAGGCCGAGCACGGGTCCCGCGGCACACTTCTCCCACGTGTGGCTCGGGGCAAGAGGGCAGCCGGCGGCCAGCGGAGTCCTGTCTTCGGCAGGCCAGCTGCTGCCCCGGGAGCCGGCTGGGGCCACGCGGCTCTGCCGCTGCCGCAGGAACCCTGGCCCCGGGGCGGCCTCAGTGCACTTGCTCCTGCTGGCTGCGGGGCGGAGGCGGCTGCAGCTTCCCCGGCAGCTCGGCCGGGTCCTCCTCCACGGACTGGCTCCCATAGGCGCTGTCCTCCTTCAGCTCTGCGAGGGGCAGGGAGAGCCGTGAGTGGCCAGAGCCCAGGACACGCCCCCGCCCCACCTGCCCCCCTGCCCCGGGGCCTACCTGTGCTCTGCAGCTTGGCGAGTGCCTCCGGGCCGCGCAGCAGCGCCGCCCCCTCGGTCAGCCCCATGGACTCGAGCGCCTCCAGCAGGCCCCTCAGGCTGCCGCCGGCCAGCTGAGGAGAGAGAGGCGGGGCTCAGAGGGGCACCTTCCCACGGGTCAGGGCCCGCGGAGGTGGGGGGCACTGACCTCGTAGCCGAGCAGCAGTTTCCGGCTGGGAGACGCCGCCGCCCTGTAGCTCTCCACCAGGCTGCCGAGACCCAGCCGCTTGGCCAGCTCCACCCAGTCGGCCCCGTGGCGTTCCTGGTTCAGCAGCTGCTCGAGGCTCTGCAGGGTGCTGTCACTCAGAGACAGGAGGTCCCCTGGTCCAGGAGAGAGCAGCACGGCCCAGGTGAGTGGGCAGCTGGCCCCCGCCCCCATGAGCAGCGCCCCGGGCACCCCATTCCCTCCGTGGACTGGAGGGACCTGCTGTGCACCCAGCCCCGTCAGGAGCCGCACGGGCAGAGCACCCCCGGGGCCCCGGAGCACAGCACGGCTAGCCCACCTGGCCGAGGAGTGGCGGCCACCACCGTCTGCGCAGCGTCTGGGCCTTGCCGCGAGGCCTGCAGGAGGATCCCCCGCACCTGGAGGGAGAGAGGCCCGGACAGCCCTGAGCGGCCCCACCAGGAACAGCTGCTGAAAGGCCCCCCCCGCCCTGCAGCCCCAGGCCACAGACCTCCCCGCAGCAAAAGGCGGCGGTGGACAGCAGAGGCGCTGGCGGGGACAGCGCCGGAACTCCGTCATCTCCGGGGAGGCGTGCCCGCCAAGCAAGGCCCCCCGGCCAAGGGGACCCTACGACAGCACTCCAGCCAGCCCCCCACGTGCCACCTACCTTGGGGCTCGACGCCAGGTCCAGCGGGGTGTGCCCCCGGCGCCGCTTCACGCCACGCGGGTCGGGTGCGTCCATGTCCCGCTCACCAGGACAGGCTGCCCACACCTCCGCAGCTCCCTCCTCGTCCGGTTCCGCGTCCGTGTCGCTGCTCGTGTCGGACGAGGAAGCCCCGGCGGGCTCGTCATTCTCACACAGGGCATCTGCTCCTGGCGGGAGGCGGAGAGCCGTCGGCCAGAGTGCTGCAGCCGGGGGCCAAGGGAGGCAGGGCAGCCCCCACCGGCCAGGAGCAGCAGCAGGCGCTTCCAAGCAGCCAAGCCCTGCAGCCGGGCCCGTCTGCCGCCAGCTGCTCGGCCTGCCTCTCCTTCATCCCAGGCAGGCGCCTGGGAAATCCCTTTATTGTGTCACCGTTGTTTCGGCGCAACAAACCCAATGCACGCACGTCGAAGAAAACTTTTCGGTTTGTGCACTGCTATTTACACAAAACCTCGTATTCCCCCCGCCGATCCGAGCATCCAGCACTGATCCCAACGTGGATGTGGCACACAGAGGCCCCCGAGCGGAACCAGGGTGCCATTATGGTTCTGCTAACCGCCGCGCAGGAGGAGAGGACAGCCAAAAGGCCCACACGGTGGGCCCACAGTCCGATCCCCGTGGCGAGATGGCCCCGGGGAGCTCAGCACCTGCGGCTGGCGGCCCCCGCCTGGACAACCCGGGTGCAGATCAGCGGAGCCGCTCAGCCAGGCGGCCTGACGCAAAATGTTTCCTGGCTCGACTTCGGGAGACGACAGGTGCGGCACAGGCAGCGTGCAGGTGCGGGAGGGAATCCACGTGGGACGCACACGCAGGCGCTGGGCGGCCTCTCCCAGGGTTTTGGGCCATGCGCGCCCTGTGAGCGCGAGGGGCACGGGCAGCAGGAGGAGTGCCCACTCCCCCCCACTTTCTTCAGGAGTCGGCCCACCGCTTTTCAGAAGAATTCTTAAGCCCAGCCACCAGGGAATGCTGGCCGGGGGAAGGATACCTGCTTTGATCAGCAGCTTGGTAAGGATGGGGGAGCCCAGGCCCGCTGCCAAGTGGAGAGGGGTGTTCCCGGAGGACGTCTGGGCGTTTGCGTCGGCTCCCAGCTAGACAGAGAAAGGAGAGTAAGCGGCGCACAAGCGGGTCCAGAAAAGCCTCCCCTGCCCGCCCCGTGTGGCCAGACAGCCGGGCGACCCATGCCTCCGGCCTCAGCTGGAGCAGAAGGGCAGGCAGGGCCCCAAAAGGCACGGAAGCAGCAGTGGGAAATGTGCCCGGGCGGTCAAGCACCAGGTCCAAGCCACCTGTGCCTGGGCCCTCCTCCCCCACCCACTGTCGCCCTCTGCCCGGCCGCACCGGCCCCAAAGGGCCCCAGCCACCTCACAACCTGCTGTGTCTCTTGCAGTACCGGCCCATGAGCGGCACCGGCACACGCCCCGCCAGCACGGGCCATGTGGGGATGCCATGCACTTCCCGCGGGGGGCCAGCAGCATGCCCCGCAAGGCGCCCCCACTCCCCACAGGCGCAGCTCGTCGGCTCGGCCCGCTCCGGCCCAAGACAGAAGCAAGTCCCGGCAGAAGGGTGGGGAGGCCCTCTGAGGCTCACCCCAGAGGGACCCCCTGGACTGCGTTCCGGGAAGCCCCCGTGTCCCCACGCAGAATACTGTCGTGCTGAATCGGACGGCAACAGGCTGCCCCGGGACGGTCCGGGAGGCCCACGGCCATCAGAACCTCCCTCCAGTGGCTGCTCGGCGAGGCACCTCAGCCACACGGCCAAGCAGCCCTGAGCCCGCCGCCCCCTCGCTCCCAGGGAGTCAGGACGCAGCGCTGCCGGGGGCGCCACGCCCAGGCCGCCCCTTCCTGGGCACCGCAAACTCCCCGGGCCGTGTGTGCGGTCGCTGCTGCAGGCCATGGGCAGGGGAGGGGAGGGCTCTCCCGGAGCCGGCAGCCCACGCACCTTCCACAGCAGGTTCGTGGCCAGGTTGAGGTCGCCCATCTCCACCGCCAGGTGCAGAGGCGTCCGCCCGCTCTGCCACTCGGCCGCGTTCACGTTGGCGCCCTTCTCGACCAGCCGCTCGAGGCAGGCGAACTTCTTGCACTTCACGGCCAGGTGGACCGGGAAGAGGCCTGAGGGGAAACAGAAGCTGGCGCTCCTTGCCTTGCCTTGCCATGCCTGAAGCAGGCCCTCGCCCGGGCTGCGCGATGCCTCCCTGGCATCGTTTCCCAGCCCTCCTCTGCTCTCCCACAGAAGGTGCACCCAGAGGATGCGGGGACCGTCCCGCCCCCATCAAGCCTCCGCCACGCCCACGGCGGCCGCGTCTTCCCCGCAGCCGGGCACTCCAACCCCCTGCCTGGGGCATGCCTGCGGAGGCCCCTGACGCCGGTGTCGGCAAACTGTGCGCCTGCTGCCGGGCCCCTATACTGTGTGCTCGGCCGCCGTTCGGGCCACCGGCAGCATTTCCACCCTGGTCTTTTGGGGCAGCTCTGCTGGCCTGGCCCAGGGCTCAGCTGCGCTCCGCCCACCCCCGCGGCAGAAGCCCACAGCCTGGCTCCCCCCCGGGCCGGGCTGGGCCGGGCCCATTTCTCCCACAGAAGCATGGCCTGCCCCACCTGGGCCGCCCCATTTTCCACACTGCGGGATCCCTCCACAGCCTGGCCCGGCCGGCCCTGCACGCGGAGGAGCCCGGCCCGGCAGTCCTGGAGCTCAGTCTCCTACCCACAAACGCAGGTGGGCTTCCGGGACCGCGGGACCGCATCGCCCACAGCGCCAGAGACGGTGCAGGCCACAGGCCCAGGCGCAGCCCCGGGGCTACTGACCGGGCTCTCTGGGTGACATGGAGCCAGGCGGCCTTCGTGACGGGCAGGCAGGCAGGCGCTTCGCCACACAGCGACACGCCTGCCAGAGCCCCAGCTCTGCCTGAGGACCCCTCCCTGCCACGCTCACCCGCTGGCGGGAGCCGCCCCGCTCCAGGGCGCAGACGGCTGCACGCCGCCCCAGCGCAGAGCCCGGCTTCCTGGGTCCCCGGGCGTGGTGAGGGCGGAGGAGAGCCAGGAGGGGGGCAGAGGTGACGCCCCCCACCTGTGTCTGCCCACAGGCAGGCAAGCGTGCAGCACGTGCAAAACACGCGGGAAGTGCTGCCCCGCTGCCGCCTTGGCACCTCTGCGCGGCTCCCCTGGCCAGCAGGTCGCTCATTCCGCTACGAAGCGAAGGGCCTGCCAGGGGGCGACCCTTTAAGAGAAGCTGAGGGATGGCCACCTGCCCGGCTGCCTCATTCGGTGGCTTAACGCCCACCGGTGCTTCATTCTGTGCTTGCCAAGCGACTTTGAGCCGTGCTGCTTGGCCGCTGGGGCTCCCCCTGCCGGGTGAGGGGGTCTCGCAGAAGCCCGCCTTGCACTGCGCCAGCTCGCTGCCCCCAGCCGCCGCTGCAGCCGGCCGGATTAGAGGAGCTTCTCTCGCAGGCAGGGACGGCGTGGCCAACTGCCGATGGCACGAGCCTCGCATCAGGGGGAATCTAGGTCGCCGGAGCCCCTCGAGAATAGGAGCCGTCTGCACAGGAGCTCTGTGTGTGTGTGTGTGTGTGTGTGTGTGTGTGTGTGTGTGTGTGTGTGTGTGTGTCCGCGTGCACCTGCGTGCACACGTGTTTTTAAGCTAAATAAAAAGCCGAGCTCCGAACCTTGGCATATGTCTTTCTGACCTTGTGGCTGCAATCTGACTTCTAAGGCCTGGACGCTGAGCTTGCACACAGCCCAAACGGAAGCTGGCCAACGCGTCTTGCCCCCGAGCAGACTCTGCTGCCAGTTAGGGCCGCTCGGGGCCCCTCCAACGTGGCCCTTTGGGGCCCCTCTGGGACTCGGGTGCGCCCCGGCTCAGCCAGGTGCGGAGGCTCTTTGCCACAGCTCAGGGCCCTCCGCTGGAGCAGGGAGGCTTGTTTCCCACGGGATCCCCGTGATTCAAAGTCGCCTGAATTCTGCCAGGGCCCCCGCTCTGCCGCTTCTACTCGCCAGCAGCGCTGGTCTCGCTCACCCAGGAAGTTGGGGGTCTCCAGCAGGCGGCGCGTGTGGGAGCCCAGGTGGCAGAGGAGGGTGCGCAGCATCTCCTCGTCGTCCAGCTGCAGGGCCAGGTGCAGCGCCGAGTTGCCATAGCGGTCCAGCAGGGTAGGGTCCGCCCCGGCCTGCAGCAGGAAGGCGGCCACCCTGGGCTGGCGGGTGATGACCGCCAGGTGCAAGGGCGTCTGCGGAGGAGCGGGAGGGCGGCTCAGTGGGGAGGCGAGCAGGGGCCGGGGCCTGGCGTGGGCCCACCCGCTCGGCCCCCCACAAGCGAGCGCGCCCCGCAGGCCGTGCCGGGACACAGGCACCCACAGCCTGCCACGTGGGTGGGAGACGACCCGCCACGCCCCGGCACCCGAGTCCGGCCCTGCCCGGCGCACCTGCTGCAGGTGGTTCACGACGTCGATGACGCGCTGATGGGGGATGCTGACCGCCACCTGCACCAGCTGCGCGATCACGGCCGTCTGCTCGTGGATGATGGCCAGGTGCAGAGGCCTGGGGAAGACAGCCCGGGTGGCAGCGTGGTGAGGGTGCGCAGGGCCGTGCGAGCACACGCAGGCGCAAGGGACCCCGGGGAGAGCGGGGTGCGCCACCAGCTCCCGTCTCTTTCCACTCCCCAATTTGCAGGACCATCTCTGCCCTCCCGCCCTGGGCGCTTCCCCAGTTCACAGCAGAGGGGCTGCCCATGCCAAGCGGAAACCACATGCTGCTCGCAGGGAACAGGCTATTCAGCGAGCGCGAAGCCTGAGATTGCCGAAGATCGGTCAGACCAGACTTTGAAAAGAGCAGGCGCTGCTTTAAGCTGAATGGGAGCAACTGTGCAGGGCACTCAAAGGGAGCACCCCCGCCCCACCCCCGGGCACTGGGCAGCCCCTGCTCCATCCTGCGCCCAACCTCGCGGTCATCGGCTTGCGGTGTGCGTGAATTTCAGGCGGAAGCACGAATGCCCACAGTTGCCCAACATGCAAGAAAGGCCAAAGACGCTGCAAATGTCTAGAAAGCAGCATAACCAGACATGGGCAAGAGCGTTTCTCAAAAGTCTCTACAAAGCTGCCCCACAAGACAGGGCACAGTTTTTCAGAAATGAAGGGAAACGTTGCTCGGGGATCAGGGATCAGAAAACATTGCCCGACTTTGAGGGAAGGTGCTCAAGCTGCCAAGACAGCTGTCCTTCATGAGTGGGGCTCCGCAGGGCCCCAGCCCGATCCTCCACGGCTGACCCGCCTCCCGGCCCTCCGGCAGGGCTGCCCCGCGCCAGCAAACCGCCAGGGGCCCAGCTGGCCCCGTGCCGCGCGCGCTGCACTCACGTGTCGCCGTTCTCGTCCTGGGAAGCGGCCAGGTGCCTCTGCACCGCCAGCAGCATGCGCGGGTCGGCAGTGACCGCGTAGTCCAGCAGCGCCTGGGCACTGCGCCGGGCACGGCCCAGCATCCACGAGCGGCAGGCCTGGGCTGCACGGACAGGGAAGGCAGCGGTCAGCAGGCCCCTGGCGCAGGCTCCCCGTGCGCCACCCCCCTCGGCTCCCCCGGCACCAGGCCCCCCTCAGTGGCAGGGCACGTGGTCCCGAGAACGGCCGCTCGCGGCCCGCACCCCGAGCAGACAACGCTGGACAAGCTGCCCGACGGGGCACGAGGCCGCCTCCCGGCGCCTGACAGAAGCCAGCCTGGCGGCCTCGTTCCAGAGGCAGCACCGCCGCCACTGCCGCACAACCCAGTCTCCGCTGCGGTCGCGCCGAGCCAGTTGGCCCTGCCTGCCTCCCGCTCTGCCCTGGCCAACTTCAGGGCGGAGCAACTTCAGTGCGTGTGCAGAGCACGGATCAAAGGGGGCGAGGAGGAAGGAGACGCCCAAGGAGACACGGCGCAGCCTAGAAAGCACCGATGGACGGGTGCTTGGTTCCCGGCGGGCTTGGCCCCTCGGGGGGGCCACGCTGCCCCGACGCAGGAGGGCGCGGCTGCCGCAGCAGCCCCCAGCGGGTGGCGAGGCATCAGAAGCGGGCGGCTGCAAGCCCAGCAGGCCTCCAAGCCACGCCTGTTTCTCACTCCAACCGGGGAACGGGTCGCCCGCAGCCGGCCTGCGCGCGAGGGCTGAGGGCCGACCCACGGCACCGGAGTGGAGCGTGGCGACCCGGCAGTGCTGCACGCGGCCGGCTTCTGTCCACCACACGTTCCCCAGTGAGAGGCGCCCCCACTCCGCCTTTCGGCTCCCCTTCCATGGAAGCCCACACAAGGACCCACGGGGCTTCGGGCGCCAAGAGCGGAGCACGTGCCGCGCAGGCGGTGGCGATCATGGATGTGCAACACGTTTGCCCACAGGGAGTGGGGGGCCTGCTGCACGCACACCCACCCGGCCCTCTGGGGGCGCAGGGCGGCCAGCGCAGGGACCCCCCGCACCACACGCTGCGCCCCCCGGGCCCAGGTGCCCTCCCCGCCTTTACCGTGCTGCAGCAGCGGCATGTAGTCCCTCTCCTCCAGGCAGACGCGGTTCCCATCTTCCGGGAGCTCGTGCCCCCCATCTCCCGTTCCGGCGCTGCCAGGCATCCGGATGCCTCTGCCACCCTGGTAGCTGCCCGCGGGATGGGTTCCAGGCAGGTAGACGCTGCTGCTGTACGGACTGTACCCGGAGGAGTGCCAGGGGGTCCCGGCTACAGCAGGCAGGAGAGAGCGCATGATGCGGAGTGAGGCCCCGGCTGCAGGGGCAGGGCCCGCGCGAAAGGCCTTCTGGCAGGCGCGACGGCAGTGCGTGGCCCGCGCAAAAGGCAGTGCGGCAACTCATTGGCGGCAAGCCGGCCAGAACGACCGCCGACCATGCCGACACTTGCAGCCCTCGCGCTTTCGGCTCATGCCGTGCACCTCAGGCTGGCCGCCAACATGTCGTGTGGTCGCCGCTGGTGAGCAGAGCTCGACCCAGGCGCCTTGAGCTGCAGCACGCGTCCCACAAGATGCAGCGGGAGCCGCAGGGCGTGCTCCATTCAGCGGCTGCTGGCAGCTGTTTTTAACGCCACCAACTCCTGCTCTGTGTCGCCAAGAGGCCCATCCGACTGCGGCCTCCCCCCAGAAACCAAGCCGCAGAGGCATTTCGCGCTGGCCTGGGCCGGGCCGGGCAACAGGGCGGCCCGTGGAAGGCGCTCGTCTCTGCTGGGGTTCCCAGGCGGGAGCTCAGGCGAACCACCGAACGTCAAAGGCCATCTCCCCTCCACCACCCAAACTAGCCACTGGCCAATTCTTGGGGTTTGTTCTACGAGGAAGCTTCATTTCCCAGGATCCTGAGGCGCACCCGGCGTCTGCAACCCGCGGCAGCGCCACCGCGCAACTCGGCACCAAAGTCTGCGAAGACCGCGGACCGGGTGGCGCAGCACGCACAGGGCAGCCACGCGCACAGAGCCGCTCACCTCCGCCGGAGCCGCCACCACCGCCGCCAGCCCCTCCCATGGGCGCGCCGCCCCCGAAGTGCTGCGGGAACTGCGGCAGGGTCTTCTTGCGCTTCCGCTCCACCTCCTCCTTATCTGCAGCGAGAGCAGAGAGCGGTGCTCAGTGACAGCCCGGCAGCAGGAGTGGCTCGCTGCCCGAGTGCCTCGTACCTTCCACCACCGGGTAGTAGGTGAACTGCTTGGAGTCGCTCACGTCGCCCCCGCGCTTGCGTTTCAGCTGCAGGAAGACGGTGACGGGCCGGTCGATCTTGGCCTGGTGGTAGGGAGGCGTGCGGAAGACGATGGCGTACTGCGGGGACGAGAGCAGATGGCAAGGCGGGTGCCTGGCAAGCTTCCAGGGCGGGGAGGCAGGAACGGTCTGGCCATCGGGTCCCACGGACCCCACACTGCCGAGACAGCGGCCTCCAAGGCAGGCTGGAGGCGAGAAAGCAGCCCCGGCTCCACTGCTCAGCCACAGGAACCGAGAACCAGCTACACCCACGGGCTGGCTGAGCCGCTGATTCCCCGACGCCTGTCAGGGCTGAGGTCGGGCAAGCAGGAGGCCCCGTGCGCTTCAGAAGGGGAGCCATCGGAGGCGGCACCTCCTTCCACAGGCACCGTCCCTGGGGAAGGCAGCCCTGCCCGGCCACTGGCCTGTTCCTGCTCTCACGGCTGGGGCAGGAGCAGCTGAGCCAAGGTGGGTCGGGGCAGCCGCCTCACTCTGCCTTCCCCCAGGAGAGGCAGCTGGGCCTGCGCCCGTGACCGCAGCGCACCGCCCGGTCGCCAGCACAGGCAAGTGCGGCAGGCAGTGTGTGAGACACAGCGCACGGTGGTCCCGGGTGGGAATCCAGGTCTGCACCCGCAGCAGCTCTCGCGGCTGAACGGATACCTGCTTGTGCACGTCGGTGGGGGAGAAGTCCCCAAAGGCCTGCCAGCCATTCTCGTCATCTTCGTAAAAGCGCACCTCAATGTCATCTGGAGGAGAGGAGAGGAGGAGGAGGGATGCTTCCCATCAGAGTATCAGGACTGGCCGCCTGCTGCCCTGCCTGCGCACCACGGACTTTCAAGCCACGGCCTGAGGAGCCCTGCCCCCCCGCCCCCCCTCTCCCCCGCATGCTGCTGGGGCCCATGCTCCCCCCCACACGCGCCCTGCCAGCCACACCCACTACGCAGCCACAGCGCTGATGCTTCTGCCCGGCGCTCTCCAAGAGCCTCCTTCAGACCCCGTGTCCTGCAGCACAGCCGGAAGCTCTCTTCCTGGGCAGGTCTGATGCCCGGCCGTCTTCCTGGGCGGGGAGAGCATCTCCCACCACAAGGACCAAAGGATGCCCTTTTCTGACCCCTCCCAGGAGAGGTGGCCACAGTGCGAGAAAGGACAGGGGCACAAGGAAGAGTCCACTCCTGTTCTGCTTAGAGCAACCAGGGGCCCCCAGACTTCCCCAGCGCTTTGCCGCACGGTTCTGGGGCTCGGCCTCTTCCTCGCAGCAGCCTCCTCCTCCTCCTCCGCTGTTCCCTTCGCACCAATGCAGAGAAGCGCAGGGTGCCCCGGGACACCCGGCCTGCACTTCTCATGCTTCCTGAGCAAGCCTGCTCAGGAACAGAGCAAAACAGCAGGGCGCTGGCCCACATTCGGGCAGTCACCCCACAACGAACGACGCCGGCACCCTCCAAGAAGAGGAGTGACCGGGGCCTCCAAGCCAAGAGCCTCGGGCAGACGCCTGCATTTCGCGGGCTGCGGCTCAAGCTCTTGGGACTCCCTGTCAGCACACGGAGGCCGGAAACGCACCTCTGGCGCCTTGCTTCGAAGCACACGCACAGCACCGGAGCGGGTGCGGCACGGGGACAGCAGGAGCGGGCCTACCTTTCTGGACTTTGTCACACAGCAAGTACACCTCATCCCCGCCTCGCACCGAGCCCGCCGTCTTATCCATCCGGGAGATCTTCAGGTTGGATGCTCCGGGAGACTCTGGAGAACACAGGGAGTCAGAGGAGATGCAGGGCCTGCCTGCGGCGACCCACTTCCTCTGCCACACCCACGCCCCCAAAGGAGGGCACGGGCACCCCTTTGCGCCAGGCTCCGGGAACACCGGGAAGCCCCTCACGCGACTTCCAAGCCTCTCCAAATCCCACTGCAGAGAAGGACCAGGCTCTTGAGAATGCACAGAGACCTTGCTGTGGCCTCGCCTTCTGCTTTGACCAGCAGTCTGGGGTCACTGCCAGCCCTTCTCCTCTCTCCCCTTCCGAAGGGAGGTCGCTAACGCGCCACAACCTCTCCAAGGCCAAAACCACCCACAATGATTGGTCTTCCTGGGGGAAGGAAGGAAGACAAGCTCCCCTCAGCGGCACGGAGCAGCCCCGAGAGCACGTGCATGTCACGGAGGGACCCCTGGCCTGCAGGTGACACCGCTCTGCAGCGTGGCAGGACAGGCCACGCGGCACACGTCCCAGAAGCGCCCTCATGGTCACCCCATGCACACCCTCACGGGACTCGGCCAGACCGCCCCAGAGCCACATGCTGCCCGGAAGGGGGAGACGGGGAAGCGGCCCGGCCCAGCCAACGCAGAGGCCCGCAGCCGGCCGGCCCGTCCTCCTCCCCGGGCCGCAACTCACTGCTGTCGTGGATGGGGTCCGAGATGACTGGCTTCAGGGCCAGGCTGAAGTTTCCGTTGCTGTCGCGCAGGAAGGCGCTGAAGCGCAGGCGCACGATGCTGAGGTCCATGCTCTTCTTCAGCTCCTTGGCCTCTTGCTCGAGGGCCTCCTGCTCCGCCTCTGCCGAGAGACACCAGCTGCACTTCAGGATGCGCCCAGGTGCCGGCAGGGAGTTGCACAGGACCCCCATGCCAACCATTAAGCTTCCTCCCCGACTCCACCTGGGCACCTGCTCCTTACGAGGGCTGCTGCCCGGGGGGCCTCCAGGGGCCGTGCCCCCGCCCAGACAGGGAGCTCCACGGGGGACTGGAACGCTCAGCCCGGCCTTTACAGCGAAGCTGCGCGTTGCAAGGACTGTGAAGTGGCGGAGAACGGCCAAGCGGAAGCCGCCTGCTAAGGCCCTGCTGACTTCCTGGCGAGGACCCACTTAAAACCAGGTGCTCCTGACTCATCGTGCCCCCGACCAGCTCTTCCTGAGCCTTGCAGGGGTCAGGTGTGTGCATGTAACTACCATAGGTTAGGAAACCAGACGGCCAGGCACACCGAGAAGGGCCAGGATTGGCTGGAGATCATGCCATTTCATCCCTCACAACAGCTCCCGATGACCCGGGGCCCCTCACCTTGACTTGTTCTGCCTCTGGACCGCTTCTTGGACTCGCGTGCACATGTGCCACCCACCTTCCAAGGAGAACGGCGCATGCCCAGACCGGTCCCGTTTTATCATCAGAGCCACGAGGCCGGGCAGGCCTCCCATCTTTCATTTCATTAAGGCCCACCACTTGCATCTGCCCCCTATCTGGCCCCACGGAGTTCATGCCTACCCAAGCTACCCGGGGGGCACTACACACCCCTTCAGATCACCCCCCTGGCTCCAATCCTGGGCCCTGGAATGAGCCACCCCTTCCCGCCTCGAGGCCAGCCTCCCTCGCCGCCACACTGCTGCACCGAGACGCATCACGTGCTTCGGGTTTTCTGGGGAGAGGCTGCGGGGCCTCCGACGGGATGGATTCCTGGCGCAGCCATGGGCGAACTGGAAGCCTCCAAGCCTCACTCCTGCGTCGCCAACTGGGAATGCTGCCTGGGGAGCCTTGCAGGGGACACACAACCGATCCGAGGGAGCCGCGGCAAAGCGCAGCCAGCTGGCTCAAGCCCACTCCGCACAGCAGAGGCAGGGCAGACCCACTCCCTCCACCCCACTGCCTGAGGACTGAAGCGGAACTGCTGCGTGGCCACAGGTGGACGCTCCACAGAGAGCCCACAGGGCGCCTGACTGGCCCACGGCACCGGTGGCCCGGCCTCTGTCCAGCACAGCTACCAGGCCGCCGCCAGCTGCCCCACTGCAGGTGAGCAAGGGACAGGGGCGGAAAGGAAAGGAAAGGAAAGGAAAGGAAAGGAAAGGAAAGGAAAGGAAAGGAAGCACTCCGGCTGCCGGGTTCTGCCTGTGCCACCAGCACCCCACATCCAACGCAGGGAGAAGAGGGAATCAGCTCCCCGGCGGGCAGCCCAGGAACCCCAACGTCCCGCTCCCGCCAGCGGCCTGGCAAACCGTCCCTCGTTTCTTTCCCAGCTCAGAGTCACCTGTCAGGGGCTGCAGCCGGTTCCGCATCTTCTGCTTCTGCAGTTTGTCCTTGATGACCTCCATCATGTTTTTCTTGGTCACGTGGAGCACACCCAGGTTGTTAAATCTGAGAAAGGAGACAATGGTTGTACACCTCACCTCCACGTGAGCCACAGCCAGGAGCAACGAATGCCCACAGGGGCTGACAGCAGCTGCAGGAGGACCGCAAACCCCGGGAGGAGCTACACAACTAGCCTCCCAAGGAGAGGCTCGCTTACCTCATCCTACGAGCAAGAGGTGCGGTGAAGCACACAAAAAGGACCTGCAGCCAACCAGGCGCTACCCACCTGGGCAGCAAGGGCCTCCAGGTCATTAATTTGGTGGCTGCACCCCCCTTTGAACCGACGATCGAGCCAAGCTACCTAGAATCTTTCACCATGTAAATTTCTCCATTGTCAACAAGACGGTTCCGTAACTCGTCCGTAGTTGGGATTTCTGTTTCCTGAATGTTTCAGCCGCAGTCCTGCTTCCGCAGGTGCGTCTTTCAAGTTCATGAGAAGCCTCCTCAATCTGCGGCTGCTCTCGGCCAGTGATAGTTCTCCCCTGTACGCCTTAAATTACTGATGTGTCTTTCACCAATCCTCATTCCTCGCTCTGATCCTAGTGCAGCTTTCCCTGTGGCTTGTTCTACATGCAGGTTAAGCAAATGGGGAGATAAAATACCCCCTGCCCGATGCCTTTGCCTGTGGGAAACCATTTTGTTTCTCAGCACTCAGGAGCTTCTTGTCCACGATGCAGGTTCCGCATCCTGTGCCACCCCATGTCTTTCAGGGCCTTCCATCGCTCCTCATGGCCCAGAGCCAAAGGCTTTGCCGCGAGCTTTCAAGCGCAGGCTGATCTTCTCCCGGAATTCTTCAGTGTGCCCAGTGGCCCACACGGACTCCTCCATGAAAACGCACCCGGAACACGCTCCAGGGAGTGAAAACGAGTTTCCTCAACTACAGCAGAAGGAGTTCAGCCAAAGTGAGCAGGCGCTCTGGCTGATCCAGGATCCGTGGTGGCAAAGGCATCCCAGGGGTCCCTGATCTCGTGGGTTCGTCTTCTCATCAAGAACAGAACAGAGGTGGGTAAGCTGACAAACAGAGGGATGCGTCCCACCGGCACACAAGGGAGTGCCTGTGTCCGAATGCCAGCCAGATGTTGCGGGCCAGATGTTCTCAGCCCAAACCTCAGTGAAGCTGCCACCTCTGCCACGGCCCGCGATATGGGGGCAAGCCTGGCTTCTCTCACACAGGTGTCGCAAAGCTCGGTGGAAGGCTAGGGGAACTGTTTCACACCTCACGGCACTTCTCCGTTCTGGGCAGGAGTGAGTGGCAGCCCAGCCACACGGCCCCTCCAAGCCACTGCCATTCGACCGCTGCCCCTGCACAGAGGCTGGCCAGAGGAGCGGACCATGGCGAGCTGCAGCCCACGCAGACACCCCTTCGGAGGAACTCGCTGGTGCTCTCGCAGCGGGCGCAGGGCAAGCTCCACAGCAGGCGCCGGACAGCGATGCAGCCGCCCAGTCCGGGACAAACCAGGCCCGCCATGTGACATCCAGCAGCTTCATGGGCCAGAAGCGGCTCCTCTTGGCTCGAGCAGAGCAGCAGTGCTGTGCTCCTGCAGTTTGCCTGCAGCGGCCAAGGACTCCATCGCCCAGGCAGGGAGACAGCTCCAAGACAGCTGCTCTTGCGAAGAAGCTTCGTTCCAGCTGAGCCACCCGGGGCTCACCCACCGCTCGCTGGAATCTGCTGCTTCCTGGTCGAGGTGGGACCAAGGAGGGTCTGCCAGGCGCGAGCTCCTCCACTGCATTTTCTCTCCCCCAACCCAACTGAGCCTGAACATCGTCCTCGAGACAGCAGAGCGTTTAACGTGTAAAAGCAGAGCAAAGCAGAGCCTCGGGGTCACACCGACCCGCTCCGTACATGGACTGAGCATTTGCGCTGGCTCTGCAGCAGCCAGACATGCCGCGAGGCCCTCGGGGCCTCCCCCCGCTCCGACGGATGCCCCTTGGCCGCCTGCCCTCCCGGCCGCCCAGCAAGCCAGCTAGAGCGCTGCCTGCCCTGCAGGCCCCGTGTGGGCGGCAGGAGCAGGACGGCCCTCCCGAGAGGGCCAGTTCCCGCCGCCAAGGCCTTCTGAGCCAAGCCGCGCGCACAGCAGGGGCAGGGCTGTGCCATCGGGCCAGGTGGCTGCCAGGCGCAGAGTGCGCCTTGCCACTGTGAAGCCGGCGGTGCCCCCGCCCGCCCCCGCCCCCGCCCCGGGCACATACGTACTGCGCTGTCATGTCCTTCGGGCCCACAGCCACGGTGCAGTTGCCGGCTGCGTTGCACTGCTTCCCCACCAGGCTGTGGGCATGCACCTGTGGCGGGTCCGTGTGCGTCACCAGGTCCACTTCTATCTTCGCCGGTCCAACGTAATTGGAGATCTGCCGATGGGATGGGACAGACGGAGGTCTGAAAGCGCGACGGGGGAAAGGGCTTTGCCACGAGCTGAATCCTTCCAGGCTCTTTTTCCCCCACGGGAGGAAAACGGCTTCCAATGTCCAGCAGCGCTGGGCCCCTCTGGAGAGCGTCACCATCCAGGCAGACCTCCATTCCCCGTGCCATGTGTTGCCCCCAAGGCCCACGCGGTGAGCCAGAGAAGCCCCCCCCCCCCCCCCCCCCCGCTGGGTCACCTCGGTTCCCTCCACTCTCCTCTTGGAGCACAAACAAATGGGAGAGGAGGAACTCGCGATCACAAACAGTTACCGAGCGGTGACCTTTACCGTGTCTCATGCCTGAGGATTTCAAAGTGCTAACAGCAACAACAAGCATTTTCCTAGAAATTTAATCTCTAGGGTTTGCTGAGAGATCCCTGGCCTTGGCTATCCTTGGCTTCATGATAAACAAGCAGTGTGGCTTTGGCTAACCTTTCCGCTCATTTCCTTCCCCACGCTGAAGTTTCAGCTTCCATCCTTGGAGATGTGTCTCCTCACACTTCTACATCAGGCACTGATTCAGACGTAAAGCACATTCAAATTGCAAGCCTGGCTCTGGCCTGTCCCAGCACTCACAGGCTCCCGCCTCCTCTGCGGCCAGACACACGCGACACGCTTCCGACTGTGTTTCGCGTTCAACTAACTGCGGCCAGCAAGACGACCTGTGGTGCGATTGCTCTTGCAGAGCCTAGTGCCATTTAGCACAGGGTCTGAACCGAATCGTAGATGTGTTTGCACATAATAATAAGACACACATTCCGGGTGATTAATCCACAAGCTGGTTGCTCCTGCTTTGCCCTCTGCCTTCATACAAGTGGGCAAACCAGGTAGTCTAAGCCTGCATGCCCAAACCAAGGATTCCAGTTTAATGGACTGGAACAATCCAGGATCATAAGCTGGTTCTAAAACAGGTTTACTGTGGAACTGAGGATCCTGGATTGCTTGAGTGCTATAAAGCACGATCCTTGGTTCAGACATTACACCAAGCTCTCCCGCTGGTTATGCAAAGCACAAGCAAACCGCGAACAAGTGGCCGCCCGGGGGCCTCGTTGGTGCTGGCAGAGCCTTCGCTGCTGGGGGGGGAGCATCGCTCTTGCCACCAGCCATCCCAGCCAGCTGCCCACAAGCACAGACAGCCGAACAGGCAACTGGCCAACGACCACAGCAAGCCCAGTCTTGCTTATCAGCGCATTTCAAGGTTTTCAGATACCGTAGCGATAAGCAGAGCTTAAACAATTATTCAAAGCCTTTTCTTAACAATCTCAGCACAACGTGCAAGAAGTGCTCACTTTGACCGTCGGGTAGGTCTTGTGTCCTTTCTCACTGGATGCTCCAGGCAGCCCACCATGCGAGGGACCCTCACAGCCATACCGAAAACGGAAGCCTCGCTGCCGGGGTGACACAAGAGAGAGACACGCCGTCACGTGGCCAGCTGTGCAAACGCCTGCGGGAGGCGGGCAGGCGCTCTGCCCCCCTGCGAAGAGCTCTTACCTGCTTTGGCTGTTCGATTACAGTGAGGAACGGACCTTCAACTGAGGACGGAAAAGGCAAACACTGTGAATGGTCCAGTATTTTACATGTGCAGAACACAGAATCCAGCTAAATGAAATCTTATTGATGAAACAGGCATACGGCTGAAAGCAGGCTCCCTCCCAAATCTCCTGGCATTCCACATTTTATTTATCTGTTTATTTCATCTCCATCCGGCCCAATAAATGAAGCTTTCTGGTTGGTTTACAGCAACATATCAAAATACAATATAAAATACAAAGAGAATTAAAAAATCCATAAAAGATTACCATACAAAAAACTTATAAGCAAACCTAAAACACAGATTTAAAAGTTACAGTAGCTTGTATAAATTAAGTCATATTATCCTGTGCTCATGGCTTCCACATAGAGTGGTACCTCGGTTCATGAACGCCTCAGTTCATGACCAAATCAGTTCACAAACAAAAATTTCAGAAAAACTTTGCCTCTGTTAGTGAACTCCGCATCGGGTGACGACCACGATCGCGGCCATGTTCCCTGCACGAGCGCAAGCGCAGCCAACTTCCCCGCTCACAGTTGCAGACAGACCTGTGGTCACTTGCTGTGAAGTATTATTCAATAGCAATATTGCATAATGGCTCCAAAGAAAGCACAGAGCGAGCACGGTGGTCAAGAGTATGTGCAGAGCAGTAATGAAGGTGACCAGAACGTGCAGAGCAAGAACGGTAAGACGATGGCTTTGACAAAAATAACCACTGAAATGAAGAAGGAAATTGTAGAGAAGCCCGAGTGTGGCATTCGTGAGGCTGACCTGGCCTCTGAGTTACAAGATGGCCAAGTCATTCCTTTGTTGTTCTTTGTTTCAAATTTTGTGATAAAAAATATTTACAGAACAGATGAACCTTATTCACACTGAACCTTATGGGCACATTTGACTTGGCTCGCAACCAAAATCGGGGTGTGACCACATTTGTAGGGGCCAGAACAGATTAACCTTGCTTACAGTGAACCTCATGGGGGAATCGGACTTGCTTCGCGACCAGTTGGGTCACGACCAGATCCTGGAACGGATTAAGTTCATGAGCCGAGGAACCACTGTATGTGCAGCTGGAGGCATGTGCTGGGACTCAACTAGGCCCACCCAGAGCCGTCCGCCCTCCGCCCTCGCGCCTTCTCCGGTCCTCGTTCACCGCGCTCACGGAGCCGCATGGGCTCCGCTACCAAGAGGGGGCTCTGGAGTCGACCAACTGCACCATCTCTTCATTCCCGGGATCAGGCAGGGATTCCGCAGGACCATCAGCCTGATCCCCAGAAAGTCCCCAGAGCCCTCTGGACACCACCTGGGCCATCAGCCTCCCAGCAGAGGCCATCCTGGGAATCCCCCACCCCTGCCAAGGGGAGCCATTGCAAGGAGTCCAAATCCCAGCAGGCACCCACCTGACCAGTACGGTGGGGCAATTCAGTGGCCCCAATTTCAGGTCCCTTCCCCACTCCTCGGTGTGACCTGCTGAGCCAGTGATAAGCTGGGCCACCCAGCCGTTCTCAGGGAGTCCATGAAACCCTGAGCTGCTCCTGAACAGGCGCCCACAGCAGAGATGGGGACCCTCCCCAGGACCAGCAGCCTGGGGGATCCCAACGCCTCTGCCGGCTCAGAGTGACGCCTTGCAGGGCACTGCTCAGGCCTGCAAAGGCAGCCCCCCCGGGGCCCACGGGCAGGCTGACCGGGCACCCGCCAAGCCGGCTGTAGCAAGGGGGTGTGCAACACGGCAGTGGTTACCTCACCCACCCTCCCCTCCCCCCCCCCCCACCAACCAGGCCCCCTGGACCCTCCCCTACAGCCCACACACAGGGCCTGTGGATAGGAGGGGGGCAGACCTTGCCCTCGCGAGCCCTGCTGGGGTCACCTGTTTGGGGGCACTGCCCTCTGCCCCAGCCAGCAGACGCGTCCTGCGGGGCACCCACACCGGCTGCCGGCCACCCCGAGTGCTCCCTCCCGTCCACAGGGAGCCGCCCCCAGAGCGCCTCCCAGCAGAGCTGCCGCAACCACCTGCAGGGAGGCCGCCAAGGTGGCGAGCAGCTGGCGGGGGCAGGTGGCTGGGGAGAGGCCGGGCATCCCCAGCCCTGGGGGGCCGGGCAGCATGCAGCTGCGCGTGCCCCTTACCGGTCTCCATGAGCATCTCCTTCTGCTCCATCAGATGAGGGCCAAACTGGAAGTCGTCGTAGTCGATCTGGTCCAAGCACTGCACGCAGAACAGACGAATCAGGCGGCGGCAGGGGGCAGGCCCGGCCAGGGGGGCCCTTCCTGGGCGGGCGGGAGGGCGGCCCGGCCCGGCAGGCGAGAGGGCTGCTTCTGTGCGCCAGGCCAGCCGATGCGCGTCTCCGGCCAAAGGAGGCGCGCCGGGGAGCAGGGGTCCCGGGGCAGGATGGGCTGCGGCGGCGCCTGCCCGGGGCAGGCGGTCCCCCCGCAGGCACAGCCCGCAGGTGGGCGCCCCCGGGCCGCCTCCCCGGGCCTCTGCTCCCGCTCGCCGGCCGGGAGGGCCTCGGGAGCGCCCCGGCCCCGCAGCGGGGGAGCGCAGATCGCTGCTCCCGCAGGGAGAGGCCGGCCCCGCGAGGCCCCGCCAGAGTCCGAGGCGCGCCCGGCCTGCCCCGCTTGCGTGCGCGGCCCTCCGGCAGGCGGCCTGCGCGCCCCCTTCCCCCCGGGACTCACCGTGGGGTAGCCGTCGCAGTCCATGGCGCGCCGGGGCGGCGGTGCCGGAACTCGCCGTGGGGCCCTGCGCGGGGGAGAAAGCGCGGAGGAGGGCGAGGAAGGAGGCGAGCCAGCCCGCCCGCCGCCGCCGCCGCC